TATCCTACACTACGGACGCCCTAGTGTATGCACAGTCCTTGTGATGCCAGTGCTTCTCCTACACTACGGACGCCCTAGTGTATGTACAGTCCGTATGATGTCAGAAATGCTTACCCCTTTTTCCGACTCAAGGCATACAAAAGCGGAGGGTAAATTTACCCCCCAGATTTGCCGATCACGCATCTTCGTGCCTGCCAACGAGTGCACCCGGGTTGTTCCAATGCACCCTTCCCAGTCAGCGATGCAACATTTACATTTTTTAGCGCAAAGTATGTACATAGCAACGTTCCTCCCAAAACATGTAATCCCTACATGCTTTGCCGACTATGTAACAAGTACATCCGGTGCGATTCGGCTAGCTTTCGACCTCCTCCCCCTGGCCTCAAGTTTGTCACGCATTCATTCATCCATTCATTCCTTCATACAGTCATTTCTGAGCTCCTCCTGCTTTAATACATTCTTCCTTTCGTCTCCTAACTTTTGTTTCTTCTCGCTGTGAGCCACAGTAAGCTGTACAGTACATTTTTGTTATCGGGTCCTTTGACTTTCATTGTTTTGATGTTTTTTAACGTTTTTTATACATACAAATGCGTTTGTCCAAGCCACTGGGAGTTTTGTCGGCTTCCGGATCCAAGAAGGCTTGATGTCCAGTCAGCCACTGAGGAACCCACGAGTCAGAGCACAGTGCAGGTGGAGGAGACCGCAGAGTCCCTGAAGTCTCCTCGTTGCTTGTTGGAGCGAGTGGATGGTGGAAGTCATACAACGCTAATCCAAAGGAGAATGAGACAGACATAGACATAGATGATAGTGTACTGTAGAAGTACAGAAAGTGCGAGTGGTTTTGCAACTGAGCTGAAACAACATGATGTCTAAAAATAGAGCATCACCGCATCCACCTTTGGGTTGAACACTGCGCACTAAGAGACTCTAACGATGGAACCTCCACGTTTGACATCAAAAAGTCTTTCTAGACTCCAGACATTCCTAAACCCTTAATTTCAATCGAGTGAAACACGCCTTGACTCCATGCGCGAAGTATCGCAAGTGCGGAACCTGAGGTTCGAATAGTTCGCGTCCATCTCGTGGGCTTGGGCTGGAACGAGCTGGGAGCCACGTGAATTGGAGTGCCCTGCTGGACAACACGAACCAGCCTAGGCGGGCTGCCGCACAGAGACACCATAAAGCGTTGCCATCAGTTTTCACATTCAGAAACAGGGAATAGACCGTGAGGCCTCTTTGATTTTCTTCCATTCAAAGACCACAAAAGAACATGTTGATGCTTCAGACACCTTCCAGACAAATGATGCTTGAGGCATCCAATCTTCAGTCATGGCAAAGAGATCAAGGCAGCTTTAGCAAACGACTATTGTGCAGAGCTTCGCTACGATGTGAAGAACATGTACAAGACAAGAGGTATCTAGGCTTCAACTCAGACATGCTCAAAAATCTAGGAACCAAATCATTAGTGCGAGCGCTATCCTGCGTCCATGTCTAGAAGCGAACTAGTTGCCCTTTCAACTTAATTGATTATTGAGTAGGAGCGGGCTTTAAAAAACAGAGAAAACAAGACACGCTTATATTATATATATATATTGATTTAATATTAAAGACCGAAACCTGTGCCAGTCTTCCAGCTAGAGCTTTTGTGGTAGTCCTTTCTTGCCTTTCAAAAGTGCTTAATTCCATTCAAGGGGGAAAGCTTGGAGACACACCATTTCGTCAGTGGCTTTATATAGATGCATTGAATTCTTTTCGGACTTTCATGCATCTGCTGAATCAGAAGAGCATGAAGCTTTGAGGCATTTGTCAAAGGATTGCCAGGAATTCTCTCTTTGAGAACTTCACAATGGTGGTGATCGTGACATATGCCATCTACATGTCAATCGACCTGGACTTAAACGAGGGCGATATCATCACAAACACCCCGTGGATCTTCATCGTTTGTGAGCAACTCTTTTGCCTCTACTTTTTCTTGGAGCTGTGCATTCGCTTTTGTGCCTTTGAGAGGAAGTGCAATAGCCTAAAAGATAGTTGGTTTGTTTTCGACCTGGTGCTTGTCGTCTTGATGGTCGCCGAGACTTGGGTGTGGAGCTCAGTGGGATGAAATTTGGATCCTCGATTTCAAAAGATTCATGGACATTCATAGAAATTCTTCAATACACTCTCTTTGTTTGACTTGTTATGATTTGGCCCATGATTGATTCATAGATTCAATTTGAAGCAAATTTTAAGCTAAGGTGATGAATATTGTGATTGCTTTCATGGCATCTGGTGGTGCTGTTGAGAATGTCTTCGGAGATGCCTCTTTTCTTCGCATCTTTCGCCTGATGCGTCTGACACGGCTTCTGCGAATGGCCAGACTTATTCGAATGGTTCCTGAACTTCTCATCATGGTAAAGGCAGTGGCATCTGCAGCTCGATCCGTGGGATTTACCCTGATCCTCTTGGGTATTTGCCTCTATGTTTATGCCATTGTTTTCAGGCTTCTGTTTGACCAAACCACCGCCGGAAATGAGTACTTCCCAAGCGTCTTGATGGCCATGCACAAGCTCTTTATGCACGGCACGCTGTTGGATTCGGTGTCTGAGATGATGACAGAGTTGCTTAAGGAGAGTTGGATTGGCTTTATTCTAGGGTACTTCTTCATTATTTCGCCACCTTGGCTGAATAGCAGTTCTTTAATGCTGCTTTGTGGCCCAACAAGGCCATTTCCATCACCGGAGAACATTTCAGGGAACCTGAAGCAACTTTATATAAATATGTTTGGACGTCCGAAGCTATTCGCATCCGATATCGTTTGATCGGTCCAGGTCAGCCATCACCGTGATGAACATGTTGATTGGCGTGCTTTGTGAGGTGATCACGGCTGTTGCCGATGCAGAGAAGGAAGCCCTGCAGGTAAGTTGGACCACCGAGGTCCTGCAACAGTGCCCCAGCTGAGAAAGAAGGCACACACTTGGCATGAGCAAGTATGAGGTTGGGCATAGCTGTAAGGGTAAGAACGCCAAAGAAAGCTCTTAATAAGGTCAAGAGAGCAGCTAGGACCTTGAGAGTTGCTTTTCCACTTTACACAGCACTTGCTGAATTTTGTTGCTGTCTACCGGAGAATGTGCTGGTGCATGTTGAGGTGCCTCACTGCGGGAGCTGATACGAACAATGATGGCTGCATCGACTTGGATGAGTTCCAACACATGATTGAAGCTTTGGCTTTACGGCACTAATGTGGCGCTAACTAACCTCCACGTGATATGGTACCCCGAAGCATTTAGGTCTAGATCATTTTCGATACACTGTGGAAGTCTAATCGAACCGACACATCCTGTGAGCTTCCGTGCCTGAGGAGAATCCTCAAGTCCGAAGTGTCCTCAGAGAGGCCGACGTGGATGCTGCGACCTTGATTAACTTCGCAGACGTGCTCTTCGAGGGAGAAGGCAAGAAGCTGGCCAAGATAGGTCAAATTTAGCAATCCATCAAGAATCCATCGCTGGATGAGTGAGGGGGGTTGAGATGGACATGCTGAATGATGCTGCATGTAAAGCTAGGTGGCCTTACAAGTAGGTGCGGAATGCTGGAGCACTTTGGATAGACAGGCTTTGAACTGTTGTTCACCTTAATCCTTCAACAAAGGGCAGTGGATCTGGGAGTTGCTCCTAAGACTGAGCAAAAAGATGCAAACAGTATATTATCTTTATAATCTAAGCTTTTGCTCGCTAAACAGGTCCTGCGTGGTTTTTTCTTCTTTGAAGCATCACAGGATTTGCATGTCGTTGCTTTCTTCAGCTCTCGCATGATTTTTTGACCGAACCTAGAGTTCCATCTAGTCGTCCCCCCATCCTTCATGCCATCACGTCGTTGCCTCTGAGTGTCCTGGCCAGTGTCCCCCAATCTCCGAACAGCTCATTAGCAGCTCTGAGTGAAGCATAGTGAAGTCAGCACATTTGGCAGGCGATGAACTTCTCACCAAGATCCCCTTCTCGGAGTTTATGACCAGGACGCTGAAGTTGCGCGGCAGCAACACCGCCACTGTGAAGGACTTGGTCGACTTGGCCCGTGAAAAGAGTTTTCTTTGTTTTATATAACTATATATACATATATATATATATTAATTTCAGTATTTTTTGGATTTGGGCTCGAGATTTATGTAATTTGATCTAGAACATGTTCTGATTTTGGTTGCAGACACCGCATCAGAATCATTTGCAAAACATAAAGAAGCTCTTCATAAAGTGTACAACGCACTCCCTCGGGCTTCTTCAAGGTCGATCTGCGCAAGTGGATGAGCAAGGAGCTTCTGGCACTGCGGAAGCTTAGCCGGATGTCCATGGCAAGTATGGCGATGCCAACGGCAATGCCATACTCTGTGAACCTGCCCTTTGAATATGTTTTGCACGTGTAGGCATCCAAAGGATCCCGACTGAAACTGCTAGAATCATGTGCGAAAATGTGTGGCCTGTGTGCTCAATCTGCTGCTAGTTTATTGGCCGTCGGATGTAGCAACATGGGTCAAGCAGAGCTCAGTGTTGAATGGACAGCACCCCTCAGGATTGGATATGGGCTCATGAGGGTTCAAAAAGAAAGTCAGTTTGAGAACTGGCTGACATCTTGATGAGTCAACTTTTCACAATCTTTTGCCGGGCTGCTCACAGGCGGTTGTTGCGTCTTCGCTTGTCGATGTTTTTTTTTGAAGCTCATGATGTCAAAAAGAGGATTGTTGATGAGTTGCGCAAGAGAGCTGGAGGGAGTGATAGAGGCCATCGCTTCCGGACGGGAGGAAGCTGTTGGCAACTCATTAACATCTGAACTACGCCTTCAGCGGACCGGCATGGCTTGTCGTCCAAGCATGTTTGGCAAGACAGGAGACACAAGACGCAACAATAGACCACATGCACGTATACAGAACGCACATGGTGAGGGTCGGTTGATAAGAAGAAGTGCATGCAATCGCTGCCGATGAATCTTTCCAGCAGTTCCCAGCCTTGCATTGCACGCCATCAAGAATCGAACGTATCCACTCAGCGGCAGCCTTCACACGATGCCCGACCTCCACTGCTTTGGATTCATCAGGCAATACTGAAAAACATACCGAATACCCTTAACCAAAAAGTACTACAACCATCCGCAACCCTTTATACCCTTTGCATCCTTTTACCAGTAACAGGAGCAAAGGACCATTGCACAGTAGACGATGGGTGGCAGTCTTCCACGCGACAAGAGCCAGCGAGAATCTGACAACAAACCAAACACATACCTCACACATCCTTTTATCAAAAACAACGTTTTCATGTTTCATGATGCATCTGTTTCATTCCATCTATATATTGGTATGTTTAGCCTTTATGCAAAAGGCGTCACCGCGACTCGAGAAGAAACACCGTCGACAGAATGGTGAAGACACCGAAAGCTTTCTTAGAAAAGAATGGAAAAAGCGTTGGAAGTCACGCAGGGAAATGTGTTTGTTGGCTGCCTGCTAGGACAGAAAACGAGAACGCTTTGCGTTGCATATGTGTGCTTTTGATGCATTTGGGCAATGTTATCAAACTAGCATACAAGTCAAGCACCTACCAAAAGCTAGTTTGTATCAGGTCAGACCGTCAGACTGCTGGCGAGTCGAGGTTTCGCAGGTGGCCGCGGTGGCGGTGAAGTTGATCTCGATATCTTTAAGCGCACACGACAAACCGGAAAGGAAGACTACTCGCTGGCAAGCAGACCAAATGCTGTCCTTTCCCCTTGCAGCGTCGAACTCGATCCTCATAGTGACAGCTGTTCTGTTTGCCATCGCTCCAGGCTTGCAGTGGGTTGATAGAGGGTGCCGTCGCTCAAATCCTGGTGCAGCAGTCACCACGCACAGAGGGAGTTGGAGTGGTGGCAGGCTCCACTACCATGTTGGCAGCTGGGTGTGCAGTGGACGCGCTTTTTCTTCGTGGTTTTGGGCCACTGTGAAGTCCAGATGCATCAAGTCACGACAACTCAGAAGCTCACAGGAGTTGCTTTTGGCCCCTCCCCAGCCGGGTGGTCTGGCGTAATTAGGGGGTTCGATCCTCGTGCCTGGTCTGTAAGACCTGCTAGTGCACACTTGCCTTCCAAATCGTCTCGAGCACTCTGCAAGCTTTTGTTCACCCTTGCTAGTCTCAAGTGAAACGGGTTTGTCCGTAACTCTCATGCAAAGATCTATCTATTAGTTCCAGTCCAGATTGGACTGAACACCCACGCCCGGTGAAGACGGAATGCGAGTGGCTTTGGAGCGCTGCGAAGAGATCTGGGAGACTCCTACCTTCTAGGGATTACTGATTCACACCAGGTCGGGAGAATATCACAGCAATATTCACCCAGTGCTGTGCAGAGAGGGCTGTGCCCTTTCCTGTTATTTTTACATTTGTTGAGCCTGTAGTTGCTGCCTGTTGCTGCTTGTCCAGCGTTGTGTTCAACAACTGGGAGCGTGGCATTGTTTTTGGAGTTCACTTGCTTTTTCAGCCCTGCAGTGTCAAGCTTGTTTCGTGTTGCCGTTTGTAAAAACGCCTGTGTCTTGGAGAATGTGAAGGCAGAAGGAAGCAACAAGATTTGGCCCTAGGCACATCTGACGAAATGTGAGTTATACATGCTCGGCGGCTGTGTTGTTTTACGTGAAAGAACTGAGGCATGGACTTAAGGGTTGATATGTTTCAAATTTGGCCGCGAGCTGCCGTTAACAAGCAGCTCAAAGGACCAGGTCGAATAAATAGCATGAATGGGTTTCATTCTGGCATGGCTTCCGGCAACATTTAAAATTTCTAGTCTTGATCACTCTCACGAGTCATGCCCATTTGGCGTCTAGAGACCTCACGCGCATTTCATGTTTGTGTGGTCTGAATTTTTGTTGGGCGGAGTGACTGGCTTCATACACTATACTTAATTGCAATAGCCGAGATGCGATCTTATGGGCCGCGGCAAACCTCAGCACATTGACATGGGAGTTGATCTAATTCAGGAGTTTATGTAGTTTCTTGTTACTACTAGTAAGGCACTTGTCACTAGAAGCGATGCACTTGTTACTACTAGCTTCTTGTTACTATGTAAAACAACCTTTCAGACTTTCAAACATAGTTTAAACCATCAAAAGATTCGCGATGAGGTTTGAACAAGTTTTTCTTTTCGCGAGACATTTATCGAAGGTCTTCGCTTTCATAATATTGTTTCTGTCTACCCACAAATAGTAGAAATACAAGCTCCGGCAGAGGCTGGTGGGCCGGTGGGCGGAAGTGTCCCCGCATGGGCCCACTGTCATAGACTAAAAAGGTTTCCTTGCCTAACCCTCGCGATGCATAAAGGATTCTCCGATCAACTGAAACCCAATGGAATTGAACATTTAGGCCGATTTGTCCCCAGATAGCTGCAGGCTGCCGTGCTGATGCAGGTGCAGGTGCTGGCTCTGGATCGGCGTTTTGGTTTTGCAGGTGCTGCTGCCGTGCTGATGCAGGTGCAGGTGCAGGTGCTGGCTTTGGATCGGCGTTTTGGTTTTGCAGGTGCTACTGCCGTGCTGATGCAGGTGCAGGTGCTGGCTTTGGACCGGCGCTTTTTTGCAGGTGCTGTTGCCGTGCTGATGTTGGTGCCGGTGCAGGTGCAGTGTTTGGATCGGCGTTTTGGTCGCGCCCCTTCTCCCCTTCGTGTCCCAGTTCTACGGCGCCCCCAGCCGCTATACCTTCTACGACGAGCACGGCGCGCCCCACGATGTCTGGCAGGGAGAGGGGGGCGAGCAGGGGGACCCTTTGATGCCCGCCCTCTACGCCGTGGGCCAGCACGCCGCCCTCCTCCAGGCCCACTCTGCGCTGCAGCCCGGGGAACACGTTTACGCCTACTTGGACGATGTGTACGCTACTACTTGCGCCCCCGATCGGGTAGGCGCCGTGTTCGGCGCACTCCGGGCCGCCTTACGCGACCGCGCCAACGTGCATGTGCACTTGGGCAAAACCCGGGCCTGGAACGCCGCCGGTGAAGAGCCCACCGCGCTCTTGGATGCGCTGCCTCCTGACGCCCGGCCCACTGCCTGGGCTGGCAATTGGGCTCAGCCACCCGATGCCCAGGGCATCGTCGTGCTGGGCACTCCCCTCGGCAGCCCCGCGTTCGTGGCCAGCCACTTGCACGACGTGCGCGCCCGCCACGATCTGCTCCTGGACCGGGTCCCAGCGGTCCCCTGCTTGCAGTCGGCGTGGCTGCTCCTCCTGCTCTGCAGCCTCCCCCGCTGCAACTTCCTGCTGCGCGCCCTGCCGCCGGCGGACACGGGCGCGTTTGCCGCGGGGCACGACACCGCCGTGCTGCAGTGCCTCACCCGCCTGCTCGGGGCACCAGCGAGCGCCCCCTCCGCCCTGGCCCCAGGCCCCGTCTCCCATACCCAGCTCCCCCTGCATATGGGGGGACTGGGGCTGCGCTCCGCCCTGGCGACGCGCAGCGCCGCGCACTGGGCTTCTTGGGCAGACTCGCTTTTCGTGATCAGCGCGCGGCACCCCCTACTCCTCGCACGGGTCCTCCCCGAGTTGGCCGCCGAGCCTGGGACACCAGGCCTGCCCGACACGCAAGCCGCTCGCCTGGCCGCGGCCGCGCTACACACCCCTGGACTGCACTCGATCCTGCATCTCGGGCCCTGCTTCTGTCCCAAGGCGGCGGCGCGGCGGCCTTGACGGTGCTCCCGTCGCGACCGAGTACCGTCTGCCCGCCGAGCAGTTCCGGGTGCTGCTTCTGCGCCGCTTACGTTTGCCGCTGCCGCCGACGCCGCGGCTCTGCCGATGCGGCGGCGCCTTGGATCCACCTGATAGATCACTTGAGTCTAAATTTACTCTTTTAAGGATTTAGTCCGGGGACTAAAGAGTAAATGATCATTTAGTCCGGATCCCGACTAAATTCTCGGAGAGTAAATTATCATTTAGTCCGGGCTACAACTGTGCAATTTGCACTCTCCAGGGTGCAAATTGCACAGTTGGGTTTTGGAGCTCAAACTTGAAAAGTGCAAATTGCACAGTTCAGGGTGCAGTTTGCACAGTTGGGTTTTTGTGTTGTAGTTGTTTGTTGCTTTTTGGTTGTGTTGTTTTGTTGTGGGAGTTGTTGTGTTTGTGGTGTTTTGGTGTTTTCTTGGTTGCTTTGCGAGGCTTGCTTGTTTGTTGGTTGCTTTTGCTTGCTTGTTTGTTGTTTGTTTTTTTGATTTGCTCGGTGATGTTTGTTGTGTTTTGTTGGCTTGCTGGCTTTTCTGATCGTATGTGTTTTGTGCTTTTGTGTGTCTGTTTGATTGTTTTTGTTTGTTTCTTTCCTTCTGTCTGCGTGCCTTTCTCTGCTTTCTTTTCTTATCTTTACCTTTCTGTTTTTTTTCATGCCTTCCTTTTTCTGTCCTTTTGTCCTTTTCCTTTCCTTTCCCTTTGCTGTTCCTTTCCCTACGTTTTCCTTATCCTTTCCTTTTACTTATCCTTATCCGTTTA